TGATATGAATTATTCTCCATTAGACTATATTTTTATTCTTCAGTTTTATATTGTAACAAGCTATTGAGCATCTTTCATGGCTTGTAAATTGATGTGTATTACTAAATACACTTGACTATGTATTCTGTCATTGAATTAGTACCATGCTGTGGACTTTGGAAGAGAAGAATGGTTCATGGACATGGTGTTTGTACCTCCTTTTTCTTTCTTTCTTAGTATATATTATGCACATATTGTAATTGGTATCTACAATGATTACTATCTTCACTCCATCTAGAATTCAATTATAATTTACATTTCATTACTTCACTTTTAAGATATTACATTTCATTACATCACTTAATATAGTTCATTTAATGGAAACAAATTTTTCATTATCTTCAATTTATGTATGTTTTAATTAATTAAATACAATAATTATTTCCATAAAAGGAACTATGTTACAATATTATAAAAAATATATGTTAGACAATCCAAATACATAAAATGAGAAATTGAAGCCACTCCTACCCTTTTGGAAACAAACAGTCCAATATTTTGGTCATCATTGTTCAACCTAATCTTTTATTTCATTTTTTATAATATACTTTTTTTATAAAGGATTGATCAAAAATCATGTCCTTAAATTTAATAGTGAAGAACCTTTTAATAATACAAGTAAAATTGAGTGAGCATAAGCTCAGTAGAATAGAATCATAGACTGAGTAAATGAGCGTTGACTCCAAGTAAATGGTTTTTAATTTGTTTCAAAGGCTGTTTTAAGTGAGTTTGGTTCCTCTCCATTATATGAGAGTCCATTGCATAGTTAGGATTTTGACACGTGTCAAAATCAAATTTTAAAGACTAAACTAGTGAATAAGAGTAGAAAATTAATAACATTAAGTCTAAGAGGAATTTGTGAAAATAAAAATGCTACGTGGAAATAACATGGAATATGTTAAGAGAAAAAAATGCATGCACTAACAATGTATGAGTTTCGTATATGGTTAATGCATCATTCATCAATCATGTTTAATTATCATTGACCTTTAAAAAAAATATGAATGGTTTAGTAACGGTGTATAAATATTTATATTGACACTTTATAAATATTACACTCATATTAATAGGATTAAAAACATTGAAATTAGTGTTTTGGAAATTTTGTGCTTAATGACATTGTAAGGCATGTTCAAAACACATGTTTATTTTCTAATAATAACATCAAAATCATGGAACAGAGAGAAACATGAGTGACTTTAGTGGAGGTGCTACATTCACCTTTACAGCTTTACTATCAATCTGCATTTGAATAAACAAGCTAATTAAACACTGAATTAATAATATATTTTTCAAATAATTAAATAAATTATTTATTTTGATAAGATTCACAAATAAGCTAATTGAAATTGTAGAAAATTAGAATAATAAAAATTGGTTAAACTTAAATAAGAGTCAAATAATACATCCTAGAGAAAAATATATAGAGAAAAATATAGTGATTAGATTTGCTAATTAACATGTATATTGAGTTCTTTGTAATGTGTATCAATATTCACTTGAACATGTATAAAAATGATGAACTGCATTCAGTAAAGTTACAAGAATTTTACTAGGAAGAGAGTTCTACTGTGTAAGAAACTCCCATTTTGAAATTATCATGTCATTTGTTATAGTGGGGTTGAGTCAAGTTATGATTTTTTTAGATTTATAAGGTTTCATTTGTTGAACATCTTGTTTTTCTAATGGATGATGAATAATTTTTTTGTTTATTGATTTGTAGCAAAATTGGGGTTGAGATGAATAATGAATTATTTTTACTACTAATAATGAATTCTACACACAACTTAAATAATATATGAGTATCATGATTTATTTCATGGCTCATAACAGCACTTGATAGAGAAACTATTGCTTAGAACTTATTTTATTATAATTATAATGAAATAATATGTTGATTCCCTGTTGTTTGCTTATCATTGTTGAGACTTCCTATTTGTAGTAAGGGAATATATTCATTTGGACTATTCTGTCATTTTCTTTTGATAAGACAATTAACTATATTCCACCACCTAGATGCCACACAAATAGACAACAAAGTGGACCTCAATAGCAACTAGCTTTCTTTCCGGCTTCACTCTAACGGACAGAGATCGCATATCTCAAACGGTATCTCATTCTCTATCCCAAGCCAATGTGAATGTTACATTTTGTTTTTAAAAAAAAAATATTATTCATATGGCAATATGCCATTGGTTCGGGATGGAAAATGAGACACCGATCAGGATGAGTGATCCTCATTCACTCTTTGGACCCTTCTTTATATCAACTAAATGAATCATTATCTAAATTCCACACAACTTCTTTAGGAAAGAATACAAATAGATATCACATGATGCATTGCACATTCCCTCTTTAGACAAATCAACTTTATAAAATTTCCAATCATTTGTGCTTTATTTTGGAATAGATATCACATGATGAATTACACTTATTGCTATTGGTATCCATGAGTTGTGCAATATGCTTTCACACCCTCTAAATGTATCAAAATCTGATTTGTGGTTTGAAAAAATACACAAAAAATAAATCATTTTTACCTAACAATAAAAAGGAGTAGAAAAATTAAACCACATATATTTGTGCTAATTACACTGATTAGGTAAACCAAGTCAAATTAATAGTAGGAGCTTATATAACACTTTAATTTTCACAACAAAATAATAATAATAATAATAATAATAATAATAATAATAATAAATTACTCCTTAGTTTTAATGAAACTATACATATTACCCTATTTATAGTTCCACATAAATCCCTTTAATATGAAATTTGGTGACAAAAAATATATTTGGTGTCATTTTCTTTTATTAGCACTGTTAACTATATTCCACCACCCAGATGTCACAAACATAGACAACAAATGGACCTCACTAGCAACTAGCTTTCTTTATGTAATGACCATTCTTTATATCAAATATATCTTGTGATGTTTGCTGTAGATATCTATAATGATAGTTTGGATTATATGGATAAAAATAAAAAAGTATGCACAAAGTTTTCTTAAACTCAAACCAAACATATTAAGATTAGGCAGATTTAGAGTGATATGGGTTTGGGGTGATGATTCACTAAGAACAAGTCCTAAACCAAACTGTTTTATAATTGCCATGAAGCATATCCTTAATTGATGATGAGTGTATGCATTTTTGGTTGAAATAGGTTGAATTAGAGTATATATTTGCATGCTATTTCTATAAACTGTGCACGTGGGTTTGGGACTAGTATGTGATACGCGTATGTAGATATGTTCTTCTAATTCTTTTTATGTGTGTATGGTGACTGATATGTAGTATGTTTCTCCCTCTCTTTTTGATTTCTCTCTCTAGTGTTGTCTCTGATTTTATTACTTGTGTGTAGTATATATCATTGGTGGATATGTGGGGGGTTATATGTAATTTGATACTTACTATTTTTAATAAAAACGAAAGATTAAACATTTAAATTTAAATCATTTTTGTTTTGGATACCTAAATAATGTCATTTTTTGATTAAAAAATACCCAAAAATCTTTATTTGTTATTTTTTTTAACTTAATATTAAATTGAAATGATATTCAAATTATACAAATAATTTTTTTTATTTATTATTATTTATCATTAATTATTCCAATTACTATATCTCACATATATATATATATATATATATATATATATATATATATATGCACACAAATTTAAACTGAAATTATATTCTAATTATCTACCTCAAATTATATGTGTGAATAATTATATGTGTGAATAACTAGGTGAAATCTAGGTTATTCGATTGTACAAAAGGTACAAAAACTAGGCTGGATATTTAACAAACATAAACACAATGTACAAACAAGCAAAGGGTAATGATGTATCCATTTGAAATTAAAGTCGGTTGATATATTGGATTGTCTGTGTAGAACTCATCTGATTCCATTTGAGATGTCAGCTTTAAAATGCACTGAGTTCCATTTGAGATTAAAGTATGTATTGGATTCCATTTCAATCACTTTCACTTTGCAGGTAAGCACTTATGACACTCTATTTAAAAATAGTATCAACATTTTAGCCTTAGTTTTCCAACCCTAGCAACCAAGTATGAAAATAACTTGTTGATACTATTTTTAAAAATAACTTGTTATTTTTAAAAAATTATATTATTCATATGACAATATGCCATTGGTCCGGGATAGAAAATGAGACACCGATCAAGACGAGTGATCCTCATTCACTCTTTGGACCCTTCTTTATATCAACTAAATGAATCATTATCTGAATTCCACACAACTTCTTTAGGAAAGAATACAAATAGATATCACATGATGCATTGCACATTCCCTCTTTAGACAAATCAACTTTATAAAATTTCCAATCGTTTGTGCTTTATTTTGGAATAGATATCACATGATGAATTACACTTATTGCTATTGGTATCCATGAGTTGTGCAATATGCTTTCACACCCTATAAATGTATCAAAATCTGATTTGTGGTTTGAAAAAATACACAAAAAATTATGACTTTATTCATTCATATATTGAGTGCATGTCTTAAAGCACAAAGTTAATAAATCCAATTAAAAAAATTATTATATTATAAAGTTAGTGTACTTATTATTTTTCAAAAGTGAATTAAGTAGTCATTATATATGAGAACATACACTAAAAACAATAATAGTTTCTGAAGAATATATATAACTAAAGCTATGAGAAAATTGAAAGAACAAGAGAGTTGGGTCATGTGGTCCACCATATGGGCACTTTCTCAAGAATGAAAAGCTACATACAAATTATGGAGCATGGATTGATTGATTTCTTAGTTGATATTTCCTTTAAAGGTACAAAATATACTAATGCCTTAAGATAAAATGAGGAAAGTTGTTGGGTCACGGGTATCTCTTACAAAGTGAGGTGAGGGAAGAATCCAAATATGTCCTTATCCCTAGGCTAAGTTCTTCTTAGTTCACTTCATTCTTCGGATAATATTCTACATATCAACTAAGCTACTTCACTCACTTATTTAAGCTACTTCACTTCATTCTTCCCATAATATCTAGGATGGCTTCTTCACACATTGCCATACTTTTCTGTCAATAATTTAAACAGGACTATGGTATTGACTATCATTGTTTTCTTGCTGTTATTTTTTAACCCTTTGGGATTTAATGCATGTCAATTTAACTTAGTAATAATTCTGCATCATGATTTTTGACTTAATTTGTTGTGTAACTTCATGCAGAACATGCACTTATTCCCACCCAAGCTCAAGGGTGTGTAGTTGCTGAGCCTACATACCCCGGTAAATGTATTAACACTAACGATTGTAACAATTATTGTGAGTTTGTAAAACATTTTCTCGGCGGTAGATGCGGACCTGTTTACCAATGTCTGTGTAGGAGATGTTAAGTCTCTGGAATTTTATTTTTCATGAATAAAATGAGTATATTTGGAGTAAAAGTAATGCCTAAACCATCATATTATTGTGTATACCTTTTTATGACTTCTGTATGGGTAAATGACTGTTCTATTTGAAATGAATGGTTATAGATAAAGTTGTTATTCACTTGCATTCTTTTACTTGAACAATTAGTCAAAGATTGACAAGATCCTTTATCCTTGAAATGACAAGAGGTACACTCCAGCATGAACCTTAGTTGAAGGTAGATGACACAATTGCTAAGATTTCAGGCCATCTAATAGAATTACTGTTTATAAGGCATCCCAACAAGCAGTGATTTTAACCATATAACTGAATTTTGAGATATGGTTGGTTCTATGCGGACCAAAATTATATAGTGCATAAGAGAGGAAATAAATAAATAAGATTCAACTCTATGATCTACTTACACTCATGGAGTATTTCGATTTTTAGGAATGCTTTTATTTTTAGAAATAATCAAGTGGACATGAATTTGATAAAACTAACAACATTCAATATTTTTTTTGGATTAGTCCTACAACTTGTATAGCAATTTGAAAATTGTAGCAATGATAGATTCATCTTTGTAATTGTTGTAGGTTTTGAATACAGCTTTATATAACAATAATAAAATATATTGCCTTATAAAAAAACCAAAAAAATGTGGATTTAAGTGTCCAAAAAACTTGTTTATTTAGGATCAAAGAAGACCATATTGTTAGTGAAGTTGAGCAAACCCTAACACCACTTGATACTATAGCTAAGAAGAAGACAATAGTCACCCTTATCTTAATGGGAGATTATACTTTAAAGAAAAGTACTATTAAAGATAACCAACAATATCATCATGTAGTTAAATCTTTCATCTCAAATCATAGCGGAACCATAATTTAATATATCAATAGAAAATATGGTGAATAAATTTTGTAGGTCTTTAGTCTTGTATCTAAATGCATGTACATGGTGGAACATATAGTTTTTTGGTCTTCCAATTATAGACAATCTTTAGATACATTCCACAAATTTCACCATGGACATAAATAAATTGCAAAGCAGGCAAAAAAGGGGGGAAAGAAAATAAAAATGGTGAGATATTGGAGATGAGATGCATTGAAGAGTTGAGAAAAAGTCAAGAGAGGAGATAAGATAGAAAAAGTGAGGCTTTTGTTAGAACCACCATGCTAAGAGAAATTAAGGCATTAAAGAACCTTTTTCTTTTCTTGTACTTTGATTATGTTTTGTCACTTAGTGAATCAAGGATGGACCAAAAATGATGCTGCATTGAACAATAAAGAGTATGACTTAGTTTATGTATGTGTCGTAGATGTTAAGTCCACTCTGTATGGAATTTTATCATTTTCTTCATATCTACTACCTATGAATTTTTTAACAGTCTTACAGTAACTATTACAGTTGTTACTATTGACGCATTTCGTGGGGTATGAAGGATTAACAAGTTCACACCATACTCATTTTATTTATGAAGGAAATGATAAAATCCCTCCAAACTCATGTTTAAATGTATTTTGCATTTTCATGTTATGATGATATGAATTGATTAATGCTATATTCACTTTTTTGTGCTACTCTTAGTTTTATCCACCTCTTTTATTATAATGGGTGATGTTTCTTTTCTCACTAATTTTATCTTTTAGAAGAAACAATTCCTTAAAGTACATTAAGCCACATGAAAATTCTAATTAATTTAAAATACAATAACACAACTACAACTAACCTATTACATCCTTCTATTTTTAATGTTCAGAATTTTTTCCTCTAATGAAATAAATTGAATATCAAGTTCTAAAAGGTATATATATTATTTAAAATGGATATCAAATTGTTACAAATCAAATTAAAACCATGTGCAAACTCATTGATGGTGTAATACTAAAACTAATTAAAAAAAACTAAAACTAAAACTAATATAAGTTATCCTCACAAATTGATATAAATATGACCTTAACACAAAAAATGTATTTACATTTGGATCTAGTTGTTTTCTAACTAATTAGAAATAAATGTCAAATCAAATTCCCAATAATTTTTGAAAAAAAAATCGATTTTAAAACCACCAAAGTTAATAAAGAATAATTTTTAAAATGGCAATAAATATTTAAAGAAAATCCTATTAATTTGTATAATCAAATCCTTTTCACATTATACACCCAAAATCAATATGTTTTTCTTTTAGGGTTTGCATAAGAGGTGTTCTGGACAAATATAATCATAAATATACATGTGTTAGTTATGCAAAGGGTATTTTATAGGACAAGGGTACATGAGGTTACATTGGTTTGAGTCATAAATTACTAAAATAAGTATATATATATATATATATATAATCTCCCAAAGTTAAAGGAAAGACAAATTTAATTATTTAAATATCTAAATAGTACATCATAATTTATTGTAATAAAAAATTTGAATGATCCCCACCAATACATGATTCAGATGAGCCTTGAAAGGACGAAGTGAGTATTTTTCAAAGTTACTTTGTCCCCCATATAGCATAATCAAGTGTCCCTAAATCCCTCTATCTTTAGTGACTTTTGTTGTGTCTTGTGATGGTAGTTTTTAATTGCTAAAAGTAAAACTAGATTGTTGAGTGCTAATATATAAAAAACACAATAATAATGCCTCATTAAACGCCAACATGCTTTAACTTGCACAACTATTTGAGGGACAATTTGTTTGAAAAACAAAACTTTGGTTGGTTGGAAAACTATATGTAACGCCTAAATTTAATAACACGGAAAATTTTCAATTTCTTTCTATCTCAAAATGCTCAAAATTAGAGATATTCCAATAAATTCTATCAAATAACTAGAATCCACCTAGAGGTTTTATATAAAACAGTAGGAAGTTAAAAGAACGTTTTTCCCCAAATATCAATTCGTACACATTCAGTTCGGATAAAGCTATGTCAAGACTAAATAAAGAATTCCCCACATACGGGTTCAATATCTTCCAATACAATGTTCAACAAAATAAACGTAACATAGACAAATCCAAGCAATGAAGAGACTCCCAGACACAGAGTTTCCTACTCCTTAGCTTTACCTACAACCCAATCATCACGGGTTGAGCAAACAGAAAACATAGAGAGAGTCAGTCATTAAGTTCATGCAATGAATAACATGGTGGATTTAAATAGAATAATAACACTAGAGAATTACTAAAGGAAGTCCATATAATCATCCCTAATACAACCGCATTCACATTCCTTTTATTCATCACAATTCTGACTACACCATACTCATCACATTAAGCATAATCATCAATAACCCAATGGCACAATTAATTCCACCAAACTAGTCGAAAATCCATACCACTACGGCATGTCAAACATCCATACCACTAAGGCAGGTCAAAATATTCATACCACTAAGGCAGGTCAAAATCCATACCCCGAAGGCAGGTCAAAATATCCATACCACTAAGGAAGGTCAAAATCCATACCACGAAGGCAGGTCAAAATATCCACACCATTAAGGCAGGTCAAAATCTATTCCACGAAGGCAGGTCAAAATATCCATACCACGAAGGCTGGTCAAAATATTCATACCACTAAGGCAGGTCAAAATCCATACCACGAAGGCAAGTCAAAATCCATCAAAATTAAGCACACCATTCACATTGGTAGAACTAACACGGTTAAATAGGAAACATTATGGGTTTCCCTTTTAATCGTCTTAGCCGATAAGAATCCTCCAACTAGTGAGTGTCGTTGGAGTTCCAATGTTACCATTCTAACACCACAAGGTTTAATGATGCTCCCTCACCTGATTATCCGCTAAAGCTTTACACTAAGTAGCTCGGTGGCGTTCTCCGCCGTCTCCTGCAACCTTAGGGTCTTTCAACCCCAACACAACAACAATCATAACACGTCAAATTTGCATGTCACGAAAATCATATTATCAAACAATATTCAAAACCCTCAAGAAAACAAACCTATCATCCATTTACCCTTATTTCAACAAAAGGGTTTTTCTCCCTATTTTCAAATGACTCGAAGGTTTTGAAAAACAACATCATTACATGCTATCTTCAAAAACAATCCCTACACCATGGATTTCACAAGGTTTCCTAAGATAAAAACGAACCACAACCTCCAGAGAGTGTTCATGGGGTTTTACCCCCAACAATGGAGAAGAGACCTTACCCACAATCATAATTTTTCCACATTAAGGAACTAATCTACGAGGTTTACCTCTTCTCAAGCCTTTCTTTCGACTCTAAGAGTTCTCCAAATGCTTAGTCGCTCCTCTTTTCTTTTGTTTTTGAAAAAGTAACCCACTTCCCACTTGGAACTTCTATTTTAGGTTTCAGGATTTCGATCTCTCTCCCGGACGAGAAAAGGCTCGCTTGGGCGAGGATCCACGTCGTATCAAAACACTCAGTGCGAACACTCTCGCTGGGGCGACGTTGTCTCGCCTAGGCGAGATTCTTCCGGAATCGACAAGGCTCTCTCGCTTGAGCGAGAAGTCCCTCGCTCAGGCGAGAATCTCACAGCTTCAACAACCCTCTCTCGCTTAAGCGAGCGTTCTCTCACTCAAGCGAGACCACCAGACAAAATCATGTGACAAATACTGAGTTCCTCGCTTGGGCGAGATTCTCTCGCTTAAGCGAGAATCGCCCAGTAGTCCCCAGCTATCATGAGTTTCACAAATCTCAAGGAAGTGCAATTTTGTGATGTTACACTATCTCTAAAAGTTAAAAGTGTAATATATATATATATTGTTAGTATAAAATTTATACACAATCAATACATCATCCATAATTTATTTATATTGATAAATGATGCACTAATGGTTTAAAAAACTGTTATATTATCAATATATATACTTTTTTCTCTAAATTTAATCATGGAAAGTTGTGTTTATGTATCAAATATAATATATTTAGAAGACACCAAACAAAATCATTGAAACAAATGGCACTCATGTTTAACTATTCATACTAAAGAATAAACAAATTTGCAATTTGAAATATGCAAAAGATAATGCAAATGGGATCTTTGGGATCATATGCAAGCATGCACGTAACATGATTGCATTATTTATTTGATTCTAATAGCATTATTAATTGATTTAATTCTCTAAAAACAAATCTTTAAAAAAACAAAGAAGTTATTGCAGTCCAAACAAAGAATAAACGCTTGAAGGGTTTATAAATCTAACATGTTTCTCCATATGAGAATTTTTATTTTGGATTTGAAGCATGTATAATGTTGCATAAGCGTACATTTTAAAATTTTCATGCCTCTGAGAATTGGTATTTTGGCATTACCAATGATGTTTATGTAAGGAATTTTAGATCAAACATGTAATGTTTAAATGTGTTTATGGTCATTATTATAAGTAGCCAAATTAAAGTGATATACTTCAAGTAAGATTCATTGCTATAGACATAATTATCATGAAAATTATTGTGTAGATACCAAATATCTTATTTCTGTTTTTATGATGGGTAAAATAAGAAATAAGAAATGCAAAATGCATCACCCTTCATGAAAGGGAATGCATGTCTTAT